CCCGAGGCAGAGTTGCTCTGCCCCAGGCTTCCTGGAATCAGCCGCTGATCAGTTTCAGCAGCAGCTGACTTGGGGAAGCTTGGGGTTCTTAAGCTGAATCTGTATGTAAGTCAGAACTGGCGGTCAGTTTCATCAGCGGCTGAATCTGGACGCCAGTTCCGACTTACATACAGATTCAACTTAAGAAGAAACCTACAGTCCCTATCTTGTACATAACCCTGGGACTGCCCGTAGTTAAGAAAAATAAATGCTCCAGTAGATTCAAGCAAAATAAATGTCCCAGCACAACTGTTAATGCTGCAAGCAAAATAAATATTTCAGTGCAACTGTTAATACTTATTTTCATCCAGTCAATTACATTCATTTTCCCAAACATTGAAATATTGATTAAATGTTTATATTTTACCTTTTTTATTAAAACGTATTAATAGTTATGGTATGCCTAAACACATAGGGAATAGATATTAGTAAAATAATATTATTTTCTCTTTTTTTCAAGATATGCCATTTCAGTTGCTCGAAAGATTGGTGCTCGTATTTATGCATTGCCAGATGATCTGGTAGAAGTGAAACCAAAAATGGTTATGACAGTGTTTGCATGCTTGATGGGAAGAGGACTGAACAAAATAAAATAATGAAGACTTTTTAAAAGTTTCTGCCATGTTAAAATACAATGAATGCCTCACAATTTACAGGATTTGGAAATTTAGTGGATATAAAAAGAGAGAAAAATCTGTATGAGTAATATGGATATATATTCATTAATTACATTTTAATAACTTGTTTATAGTAGCAAAGGTTTCATTCAAACAATTTAATATTACATGAATTATATATGGGTTAATAGTTCTATCAGACTATGTTCATTACCAAATTAAGGTTACATTCATGCATTGCTATTTAAAAAAACTTGTAAATCAAGCCTGGTTCATAATCTTTTCATAGCGTGAAAAGGATCAGAAGCTTTTTAAAATAAGTTATTTTAGGATCTGCTGTGAAAATGTTTTGATTCTTGTGGGTATTATTTACTTGTAGTCATAGTAATAGCTGTGTAAAGATCTATTTAAACACTGTTATATTTTCCCAAAACTGAACAAAGATCAGCATCATTGCCTTATTCTCTGTGAAGTAAATGAGAGTCTTGCCACTGACTTGATTAGAGCTATTTGGACCTGTAATCACCATATTGTCTAGAAATTAGTGATGCTATTCATAATGTTTTTTAATCTTTCATATGGAAGTAAAGGCTTAAATACAAACGCTTTTACAAAACAACAAACTTTCATCAAAGTTAAAAATAGCACTACATAGCAAGGCAAATGTTTTCCATTGGCTCCACTGGAGGATTTGTGTTTATATTAACCCTTGCAGCTGGAGTAAATATCTGAGCTTTCATATTTAGTTGTATCAGAAAGCAATAAAGAGAGCTGGCCAGTCCAGTTTGGGGACTCAGCCTATAAGTAATGCATTTTCAATCTCTCTCTAAATATATAAATATAAAAGCTTTTCCTGCCATGTGACAGAATGACATCAGGCTCTCTGGCCACAAAAGTGAGCGTAGCAAGCATCAGGCGCAGCCCCCTACTCTTTAAAATAAACTTTCCAATTGAACACATGTATATCTATTTTTTGTTATAGAAGTTCAAATGTTCCTAAAAGGGTGTCTTGACTGCAAGACCTTGTTTCTGGAAATATGCAAAAAGCAACACATTGCAGTATCTTCTGCATGGAAAAAGACTAATAGTTATTTGATTGTAATTTTGGAAATGACCACTTGTATTCCTTTGTCCATATCTATAAATGTTAGCCAAACACTTATGGTTCTTTAACATTTAATACAAATATTTTAAAAGCAGCCAAGGTGTGGGGTGGCAAAC